CAGGGGAATGTCAGACGCACCGCCGGGAGCCTTCGGCCGCGCCGCGCGGGATGAGCTCCAGATCCGGGCTCGCGCGTTGGCAAGCGCGGCCATGAGCTCGGAAGCCCCGAGGGGTCACGGCCCCGATCTGCCTTCAGCCTTTCGGCTCACCTGGAGGCCAGGGTGGGCCACTGCGCTCGACCCGCAGCCGCGCCGCCGCTGACGTCAGCGGGGCGCGGGCTACGAGCTGGTCGCCCCGCGCGCCTGGGGCTGCTGCAGCTGCGGCCGGCGCCAGCCCCGCGGGGGCTCGGCGCGCGGCCCGCTGGAGGCCGCGGCCTGAGCCTGGCGACCCGCCGACGCCCACCCGCGTCGTCGCGGGCCAGGCGCGCGAGGCGAACGGGCGGCTGGCCCCCGTGCCCAGGCCGCTGGCTGTGGCCGAACGCCGCCGGCGCGCGCTGGCTGCCGCTCGCGCGCTGCTGCCGCCGATCGAGAGGCAGGGCCTGGTGACGACCTGCGCCTCGCGAGCCTCCGCCCGGCGACCCTGAGCGCCTACCAGTCGGCGGTCGCCGAGCTGACCCACTTCGCAGCGGCGTGAGGTTTGTCGCTGGTGACGCCCGCAGACGCGGCCACCACCCTCAACCTGTACTTCGAAGAGCTGTTCTTCGCGGGCGAGCCGCAGCACCTCGGCCGCATGGCGCTGCACGGGCTGCGCAAAGCCCGAGGCTGGTCAGCGGCCAGACCCAACTTCCAAGAGCCAAGGACGCCCTAGCAGGCTGGTCTGCAAAGCTGCCGCCAACCTTACGGGGCCCGCCGCCGCTCGAGGCCGTCTCTCTGACCTGCGCAGTGCTCGACAAAAGGACGACCTCGGACCATTTAGTAGCTCTTGGCGCCATGGTGCAGTTTGACGCGTCTTTCTGGCCTGGAGAATTGCTTCCCACTGGGCCCGAACATGTGTTCGGGGCTTCCACGCGTGGCCTGGCGGCGGATATCACTGTTGTCATCGCGCCGCTGGGCGAGCGAGAGCCAGCTACAAACAATGACTTCAATTGCGCTGTGCGCGCAGGTACGGACCTGCCACTTAGACGGATCGTGCCTGAAATCCTTGTCAGGCTGCGCGCTCGCGCTCGCCGTCTTGCCACCATGTTCCAGCCTCTGCCACCATGTTCCATCCTCTGTCTCCTGTCCAGTATGAGAAATCGTTGAACGCCGCGGCCTTGACTGCAGGAGTCATTGAGCTCCTTTCAGTCCCCCATCAGCTGCGCCACGGTGGACCATCCCACGACGGGCTCCACGGGATTCGACTCACTGAGGCCATCCAAGCGAGAGGCCGCTGGTGCGTGCGCGAGAGTGTTAGAATATACGAGAAGCATGGCTCGGCTGGCGGCGGCGTTCGTGCCGCCACAGCCTTCAACGATGCCCAAGCCCGAGACATCCTCCGCCGCGTGTGTGCCTGAGCTGTCTGTCCAGCGCCGATGCATCGTCCCCCTCGCTCCCGTCAGTCGCTTTCATTGGTTTCACCCACCCACCCTGCTAAGGGCATAAGCGTATGGGGATGGGACTGCAGCTTCCAGCTGTGTGACAGACGTCGTGGAGTTGTTATTGCATTTCGAGCCGCGTCGCCGGCTCTCGTTTTTTTATATAAAAAACATCCATGATGCCATGGCGCTTGCCTTCGCTGCTGAGTTGGAAAACATTGGACATGATTGCTGCGAGTCCGACGCGCTGCCGCTAGTTTCCGCGACCCCCTGGGGTGACCACGCCTGTTTGCTAGGAGCGATTTGTCTCTGACAGGTGTTCCTGCGTTAGAGTGGTCTCAGCAGGTTCCGAACGGTGTCTCATCCCGCTCCTTGCTTCGCCGAAAACGTTCTGGCTTCAAGCTTCCCACCCTCCATCCCCACACACCTGCAGCTTCCAGCTGCGTGGCAAAGTTCGTGGGGTTTTTCTTGCACTTCGAGCCGTGTCGTCGGTTCTCGTGTTTTCGATAATAATACATGATGTTGCGGCGCTTGTCTTCGCTGCTGAGTTGGAAAACATTGGACATGATTGCTGTGAGTCCGATGCGCTGTCGCTCGTTTCCGCTACCCTCCGGGGTGACCACGCCCGTATGCTGGGAATGTGTACCGCCATTCGCCCGTGAACAGTCGGAAGGCGGGGCGCGCGGGGGGGCAGGGGATGAGCCGCCGCCAATGATGCCAGCATAGCGCAAACGGTCAGCGGCATGCGCGCGGCGGGGCGCGGGAATCGCAGTTGCGACGACGGACGACGACGACGACGACGACGACGACGACGACGACCAAGAAGACGACCAAGAGGACGACCCCGTGGAGACTGCCTTCACCCCGCGGGCGCGGAGTTCGGAGGTTGGAGGTTGGAGGCTGCATGGCCCTCACCCCTCGCTCGCGGAGTTCGGCTTCTGTGCGAACCACGCTCCGCGGTCGCGGAGAATGGAGCGGCGCGTGCCCGCGCCGATCCATCTTGGGGAAGTCCCTTTGGGGAGTTGCTTGGGGGAGTCCGCTTTTGGGGGGGTCCTATGGGGGAGCCCATGTGTTGCGCCCAGAAGTATTTTGTGCCCATAGGTTGCGCCTGTGGGTTGCGCCATAGGTTGCGCCATAGGTTGCGCCATCGGTTGCGCCAGTAGGTTGCGTCCATAGGTTGCGCCCATGGGTTGCCCCCATGTGTTTCGTCCATAGCCCACAGATTTATGTGAAGCGAGGATTTGTATACTTATTTTGGATGCGGAACAACGAACGTGACTTAATGCATGTAGAACCGGAACTTGATTAGATAGAAGTATCCTCTCATCGGACCACGCTTATGTTCATCGTCAACACGGTTACCCATGATGGCCGTGCCATCGGATAATGGTTCTACCTATTCATACCATGATCAAAGATTATCAATTTAAGCGTGATGAGCTACAATCCTGACCTAGCCCACCCAACGGGCTGGGGGGCATCTAGCGGATCAGTTCCACTGCGGCTCGAGTTTAAATTCGATTCCAGCTTGGCCAGCTCAACGCAGCATGAGTTCAGACTCGGCCCCAGTTCAGCTCAGGTCGATGGACGCTTAGCGCAGCAACGGCATCGACGCACGACTGCAGCGAGCGTAGGGGGCCACATGCGATCCCTACCCCTACCCCCCACGATTTCTGAGGGGGAGGGTGGGGTTCACTTCTATCGGGAGCTCTCGAGCGAAGTGAACCCCACCCTCCCCCTCAGAAATCGTGGGGGTAGGGGTAGAGTGCAGCGAGTGGCCCCAGGATGGTCCCCAGAACGAACATCCCTCTCCTGGGCCAACTCGGCCTTGGAGCGGCGATCACACTAGTGAGCCAGGCGTCTCCTGGAGCGCTCGCTCCAGTAGTCGCTCCCCCTCTTCCTCCTCCTCCTCCTCCTCCTCCTCCTCCTCTCTCCTCCTCCTCCTCCTCCCCCCTCCTCATTCTCCTCCCCCTCCTCCTCCTCCTCCCCTCCTCCCCCTCCTCCTCCTCCTCCTCATCCTCCTCCTCCTCCTCCTCCTCCTCCTCCTCCTCCTCCTCCTCCTCCTCCTCCTCCTCTCCCTCCTCATTCGCCTCCCTCCTCCTCCTCCTCCTCCTCCTCCTCCTCCTCCTCCTCCTCCTCCTCCTCCTCCTCCTCTCCTCCTCCCCCTCCCCCCCTCCTCCTCCTCCCCCTCCTCCTCCTCCTCCTCCTCCTCCTCCTCCTCCCTCCTCCTCCTCCTCCTCCTCCTCCTCCTCCTCCTCTCCCCTCCTCCTCCCCCTCCCCCTCCTTCTCCTCCTCCTCCTCCTCCTCCTCCTCCTCCTCCTCCTCCTCCTCCTCCGGGTCGCCCGCAGATACGGACCTGGAACTGGATCGCGGTGGCAAAGTGGTCCTACCTCGTGGCGACGTTTGTGATCTGCTTCAAGCTGGCCCCCACGTTCGTGAGCGTCCTGCTGGCCCGCATGACCGTGGCGACGCCGCAGCGCCCGCCGCCCGGTGCCTCCTACTCTTCTTCCTCCGCCCCATTTCCCAGACGTCAGACGCCAGGAAACAAGAGGAGGAGGAGAAGGAGGAGGAGGAGGAGGAGGAGGAGTTGCAGGAGGAGGAGGACCGAGGAGGAGGGGGAGGAGGAGGAGAATGAGGAGGAGGAGGAGGAGGAGGAGGAGGAGGAGAAGGTGCAGGAGGAGGAGAGGGAGGAAGGGAAGGCGACGGTTTTTCACCGCCCTCGGTCTCCAGGAGCCGTTTCTGGGCCCACGGGGCCGTCAGGCAACGGTCAGGAGTGAGCAGCCAGTGCCGGGGCAGGATGGCGCCGAGGGCTCGCTCGGGGGACCGCGCGTTGGTCAGCGAGTATATGCGGCCCGGGTGAGGAGCAGCAGTCCTCAGCGCCACTTGTGCGGCAGAGGGCACCCCTGAACGTCCGCAGTCGCCAGCGTAGGCAAGAGATGCTCCTCTCTCACGGGGGAGACGATGGAAGGAGGGAGGAAGGATGCAAGGTAATGGCTGGACATTGGATACTTCTGACGCGTACTTTGTTTTGTGTTGGTTTTCGTGCTCCCGAGGCGTGCTCATGTCTCAGTTTTTGGGGGCACACGAGCTCACAAGTTCCGTTCGCTTGCCGTCCGTTCAGGTGTTCTGTACCTACGACAAGCGCGCTGGACAAGCACAGGACAGACAAGAGGAGGGGAACGGTCCTACTACACTGGCCCGGATGGCTGTCTGTCCCTCGGCGTGCACCGCCTCATCCCTGGCCGCAGTCGGCCAGTCCGAACTTCAGGGTGGCGTCCCGGAGATGTCCGCGGGCCGACTGCGGTCTTGCGCCAGGCACCTTACTGGAGGATGACGATTAATAAATGACCAGGGGTCGTGTTCACGCGGCGGCGCCCGGGATGACGATTAGAAAAACCCGGCCGCGGGCTGGAACATTATTTTTTTAAACGTTCTCCTCCAGTCAGAAAGCTGTGCAGAAATAACAGAAAACTATGTTTTAATCGTTCTCTCCCATTTTTGTTGTCAATCGTCATCCTGCATTAAGAAGAGCAGAGCGGTGACCGTAGCCACTTTGGCTCGAGAACCGCCCGGAGCCCGTCGGCCCCCACGTCTGACGGCGCCCCGGGGTGCCGCAGCACCAGGCCCTCCCGGGGCAGCCGCACCGTGGCCGTCGGAGCAGCCATGCCCCGTGGCCCGCGCGGGATGGAGGCGGCGCTGACGGACGCTGCCGCGGCGGAGGTCAGCGAGGACGCCGAGCCGTTCGCGGGCGAGGAGGGCCGGCGGGCCCTGCGGACGAGCTGTGGCGGACGCGCGCTGGTGGCCTCGGTGTCGCTGCTCGTCTCGCTCGTCGTGGCTGCCCTGGCGGCGAACGCTCGCGGCGTGGGGTCGCGCGAGACGGCGCCGCCGGCGCTGGTGCCGCAGAGGCTTTCCTCTGGAGGGCCAGTGCGCGTGAACGGGTGCCTCGACGACAAGCGGCCCGGCGACCCGTATGCCGTGGCGATTGTGTTCGCCGGCCGCCCGAAGTACATGCGGCTGCTGGTGGCGTACCTGGACCAGCTCGTGGAGGACTGCTCCCTCGACGAGGTGCACGTGTGGAACTTCACGAAGAGCAAGAGGGACTGGAGGTGGCTGCAGAACGTGAGCGCCAGCCGCCCAGCGTTCCAGTTCATGGAGCCCGCGCTGCCGGAGAAGTGGTACCCGACCGAGTACACCTGGCAGCAGGACCGCTGGAACTTCGCGCACCGCTTCTACGCCCCCCCCAACGAGACCGACGCGACCAGCGGGACCAGCGGGACCAACGAGACCCTGGAGCCCCGGTTCATGCCGCAGTGGTCGGGTGCCACGCCGAATTCTACGGTGCTGTTGAAGATGGATGACGACATTGTCTACATCGACACGGTGGGCTTCCCCGGGTTCACTCGCTATGTCCGCGACCACCCCGAGAAGTTCATCGTGCACGCGAACATCGTGAACAATCCTGTCACAGCTTACTACCAGGCCCACCGTATCGAGAGGCTTTCGAAGCAGCACCCAGAACTTCTGAAGTACCCAATGAGCTGGGCCATCCCTGGACTTGACGGGGACTTGCTGTTGCTCGACAAGCCCATAGTTGGTGATTTGCATCGGATGTTCATATCGCACCTAGAGCGTTTCTCTTGGGAGAACGAGAGCGAAGACAGCTGCACTAGGTACAGCATGCCGGTTGAAGACTTTTACAAAACTTCGATCTTGGAACGGAGATTTGCCACGTGGACGCTTATGCAATTCAAATATCCTGAGACGCAGGGCAGGCTGTGCATCAATTTTTTCGGTGCCAGGTGGGCCGCCTGGGCAAAGGTCCGGGACCTGGTCGAAGAATACGGGGGCGTCGACGAGCAAGCCCTCACTGTTTGGGCTACCACTAAGAAGCATGGCCTGGAGGAGTGCATCTACACCCCGTTCAATGTGGCACACTACGCCTTCCTTCGCCAGAGAGAGCGTGGGTTCGGCGACAAGGACCTGAAGCTCTATGAGGAGCTACTGGCCAGGAAGATCACCATTCGATCGACGAACCACAACTTGATCGAAACACTGTCTGAGGATCTCCTGGGGCTGCGCTCGAATTGAGTGCGCTCACCTATGCTGTAGCGGCGCCGTCTCCTCACCTCCCGAACCTTGGTGCTGCTGTGCAAGGCGTGCACTGTTGACGCTCACCGGCGTGTGCGAGAGTGCACATTCTTAAGGAACGCCGCCCTTTGCAGGTCTAATTCGACGCGCGTCTTTTGACAAGGTGCCAGCGCTATTTACAGCGCGGATGCGTAGAGGCGGGCTCGTGGGATGGCGCGAGGATTCGAGCCTTCTCGATGGCTGTCAATATGTTCCGTACCTTCGCCACGGATATCTGGATAGGTGGCGCCAGGCAGGTTGACAATTGCCTGTCTGGCTTATTCCGAGGAGGTTGTGCCCTCAATAGGAATGTGTGTCGACGACTGCCATTTTTGGGTCGAGCTTGACCGCTGCATGTAAACAAATTATCCCAGTGCGACCCTACCTAGGAGTTGGAACCCCTAGGACAGCAGCATTAGTAGTAACAGTAACGCTAAGCTAAAGCTAAGCTAAAGCTAAGCTAAAGCTAAGCCACAGCTAAGCTAAAGCTAAGCTACAGCTAAGCTAAAGCTAAGCTAAAGCTAAGCTAAATCTAAGCTAAATCTAAGCTAAAGCTAAGCTAAAGCTGAGCAACAGCTAAGCTAAAGCTAAGCTACAGCTAAGCTAAATATAAGCTAAAGCTAAGCTAAAGCTAAAGCTAAAGCTAAGCTAAATCTAAGCTAAAGCTAAGCTAAAGCTAAGCTAAAGCTAAGCTACAGCTAAGCTCACGCTAAGCTCAAGCTAAGCTAAATCTAAGCTAAACGCTAAGCGAAAAGCTAAGCGAAACGCTAAGCTAAAGCTAAGCTAAAGTTAAGCTAAAGCTAAGCTGAAGCTAAAGCTAAAGCTAAAGCTAAAGCTAAAGCTCCCAGGGGACTCGGGGGAACCGCTCCCAGGGGACTGGGGGAACCGCCGGGGGCGCTTAGCACTGCCCGGCCCCTTCAAGCTAAGAGAGTAAGAACCCTTCTAGGCAGAGCCTAGGTAGGGAAAAAAGAAAAGAAAACAGAGTGGAGAGGGAGAGGGATACGGAAGAGGAGGAGGAGGAGGAGGAAGTGGCATTGAAGGAGGTGGGGGAAGCGGAGGAGATGGAGGGTCATGGTGGAATGGGAAGTGGAATGGCTTCGCATTCCTGTAGTCACCCTTGCCCAGCGTGCACGAGTCGGTTTTGTTTGGGTCGGTCTCGCTAGCGTCGCCCTCAGTAGGATCGGTTTTGCCGGCGGGCGGCTTCGCCGTCGGTCGACTTCACCAGCGGCCGGTTTCGATGGGGTCGGCTTAGCAATAGACCTTGTTGGGGGAAGATGCCATCCTTCTGCTGGGGGGCCCGAAACTCGTCCCCCGAACCCTGTGACACCCAGAGGCCCCCCCGCTGAGCGCACACTTTCCTTGGCTCCGCCGCCCTCGCCGCAGGTCGGCTCCGCCTGTCGACGGCGTCGCCGGCCACCGCCTCCGCCGCCGCCGCCTGCGTCGTGGCCCTCGCCGCCCTCCTCGCCTGCCTTCGGCGCCGGCGCCGCCGTGAGCCCGCCGAGCGGCTCCAGCTGGCGCACCCCGGCGGGCGGGGCGACGCTCGGCCGGGCGACGCCGGCCGGGCGACGCCGGCCCGGCGAAGCCGACGTGGGCGGCATGCCGCGTGCGGCGGAGCCGCCGGCGAGGCCGACCGCCGGCGCGATCGGAGCCGACCGCGGCCCCGGCCCCGCGCGCGAGAGGAGGACGCCCGCGGACGGCGCCGGGCCCGGCGACGCAGCTCTCGGGCCAGTGTCCTGTTCGACGCAGCGCCGCTTCACGGTGCCTCGAAGTCTGCGCCCGATGCGGGCTATAGGGGGGTCGAGTCGGGCCTGTCCCTCAACAGAAGGGATCCTCAAAGATAGTAAGGCTGGGGACGATTTGCTTCAAAATTAGTTGTGGGCCATGTTCGATTTTTGTAGGTTATTTTTGTGTTTTCGTCCAAGGCGCTCTGTAGGAGGACGTGGCCGACCGGAGACTGGGGGTCGGGGACGATGGGACGGCGTGCCGCTCCCCCGTTCCTGGCCCACCGCACATCGCCGCGAGACGCTGCAGTGTCCGCTTCGGGGTTCCTCCTCCTCCTCCTCCTCCTCCTCCTCCTCCTCCTCCTCCTCCTCCTCCTCCTCCTCCTCCTCCCCCTCCCCCTCCCCCTCCCTCCCCCTCCCCCTCCTTCTCCTCCTCCTCCTCCTCCCCCTCCTCCTCCTCCTCCTCGTCCTCCTCCTCCTCGCGTCCTGGCGCGCGGGATGTTTTTCGCTGGCCCCCGAGACGGGAAAGCAACTGTCCAGATGCCTCCGGCTTTTTCCGAGCTTTCCCGAGCCTCCCGCCCCGTGAAGCGGAGCGACATGCAATCCGCCTGCACGACGCAGCTCGTCGCCGCACCCGCCGCGGCGACACTCAAAGCACAAAGCAAAGTATTCCGGCCGTTTTGCCTCCAGCAGTTCCGCCACGGTGCCAGCGCAGCATTCTTGGTGGCGGCTGTTCGAGGGGGCACGGGAGACCGTCATTTGTGGCAATTCGGGCCTCTCGAAGGTCTTGGAGACCTGGGTACATCTTGCGAGCCTCTTGGGACCTCTTGGCAGCGTCTTGGGGTCATCCACACGCCCACAGCCCGCTTGTCATCCGGTCACTGGGCGCGCGCGACTGTTCTGGGTACGGCGCGGATGCTTCTGGTTGGAAGTTGGTCGCGTGAAATTATGGGCCGTCTCTCGCCCTCAAGGCTTCAAGATGGGTACTGTGCCTGGGCTAGTTCGTGCAGCTGTGCAAGTTGTAAGCAGTCAGTGATTTGAAATAAGGTCCTTCTCGGGGTCGGAAGGGGCTCGGTGGTTCCTTTGGTTTGCGTGAGTTCCGCTGCTTTTTCGGTGGCGAGCCCTTTCGGTGTTCCTGCGGATTTTACGGCCGTTAGTTCGGATTTCATTGCTCAACTTGGAACGCATAGTGGTCGTTCCTTATTCACCGTTCTTTCTTTCAGCAGGCCGTCTGTACGTTCCTGGCGGTAGCCAGAGAAAGTCTGGCTGAAGTTTGAACGAGTCAGAAGGGGCCCCCTGTTGAGAGGCAAGCGCCCGCATGCCGAGCGATTCCGAAGTTTGCCAAACGCGATAGTGAAGCGAGGTAGTTGACCTCGAACTGTTCTGGTCTGGACCCCACAGCCGTTTTCTGGTTCAAGCCCTCAGAAAAGGGCAACTCTGCCGTGACACCCGCCATCGCCGCCACACCTCCTTAGAAGATTTCAGAAGACATGGCGTCGGCCGCAACGAGCACCCTGCAAGAGCCAGAGGTCTCCGGATACGGAACAGCAAAAACAAACAAAGTTGAGGAGGCCGGCGTGGAGGGGGGCCCAGCGCGAACTTACGGATTTCGCGCAGCCTCCCGAAAGTTTGAGCATGCCATGTGGCGTGGTTGTTTCTCTCCCTACGAGGGGCGTACCATGAAGTCACCTTCGAGTTGTCGAAGGAGATGCAAGCTCTTCATCGGCGGAAGGTCGGCGGAAGCCGCCAGAAGTGAAACGAGGCCGCCTTCGCCAGCGGAGGCCCGTGGAAGGCCGGCGGATGCCGGCGGAAGTAACAGATGCGCCCCAAAGAAGGAGGAAGAGGAGGAGGAGGAGGAGGAGGAGGAGGAGGGTTCAGGGTTTCCCGAACCCGATATGGAGGTGATTGAGCACTCTGCCGACCTCGAGCCTAGGGAGGAGCACGACGCGGCGACCAAAGCCGAGGAGAGCACTGGCGCGCGGCCCTCGCCAGAGGCGGCCAGCAAGCTGCACCGCATGCTGAGCACCGCCAGCACCACCGCCGCGGCGTGGGTGCCGCCGGCGCTGGACGACTCGCTCTGGGCGGAGGACGTAGACCCTCCTCTTCCTCCTCCTCCTCCCTCCTCCTCCTCCTCCTCCTCCTCCTCCTCCCTCCTCCTCCTCCGCCTCCTCCTCCTCCTCCTCCTCCTCCTCCTCCTCCTCCTCCTCCTCCCTCTCTCCTTCTTCTCCCTCTCTCCTTCTTCTCCTCATTAAGGCGGAGGGTTGAAGCCTCGGTGGGATTGGGCAGAGATTCAGCGGGATGGAGACAGCGGCGACGAGGACCCTCCAGGCCACGAGCCACGCAGAGAGGACGAGCCCAAAGCCCAAGCACCCACTCAAGAGGGGGGGACGCAAGGGAGGAAGATAGAAGAAGAGGAGGAGGGCCCGCGGAGGGGGAGCTTGGGCTCAGGGTGTCCATGACAAAGCGCTGGGCCCACCAGGGCCGAGCGGGGGCCAGACACAGGATTTACGAGCCGCGACCAGCTGCCGATGCCAACCAATCTACACAACTACCTGGCCAATGTGTGTGCAGAAGCTTCAAGCATGTGTCGAATGGCTTCCTCTCGAATTGTGTCTGGCTGACAGGGTGCACATTGCAACATGCGAAATTCTACACTGAGACATGGTGCACACTACATATCAGCACGTCAGACAAAAACAACTCGCAGCTGCACTCACGGCTCAACTGCTGCAATCAGACGGCTCGCACCAATCCTGGCACACGCTATGGCTCACTGCACTACCATGTTACTGTCAATGTCCAAGTGCCGGCAATGTGCTCGCAACAAATGTACCCCAGCGCCTTGATCTTGGCTACAAATGGCAAGAACATACTGTGCAACACCTCATGGTAGGGGATCGGCTCTCCAGGGGTCCACGTGGCTTCTGACCCACGTCGCTTCTGACCCAAAGGACTCGACAAAGTAGCAGGAGTCCTTGAGCAATTTCCGGGAATCCTTATATCGATCTGGACAGCACCTCGAAGGACGCTGTCGCCTGGGACGCGTTCTCGTCCCCCTCCCCCTCCTCCTCCTCCTTCTCTTCCCCCTCCTCCTCCTCATCCTCCGCCCCTGGGGGCACCCCCATAATTGGGGTGTCAGGCCAAAGCGCCCCCTAGCGGAGGCGGGGGCCGCTGGGCCTCAGGGGTGCAAGCCACCGCACCTGGGGTGGCCCCCAAAGCGGGGTCCCCTCCCCAGGGGGCCCCCGGCCACGCAGCCTCCCACGGGAGCGTGGTTTCCCAGCCAGGTGTCCCCCGTGGGAGTCGTGTGCCAGGGGGTCCGTCTCCCCCCCGTCGTGTCGTCGCCGTCGCTGTCGCGTCTGTCGTGTCGTGGCGGGCCCCTGGGGTTGGTGGTGTGGTCTGGTGTTGCCTGGCCCCTGCCCGTTCTGTCGGTGGTCGGGCGTTGCCGGCCAGCAAAACGGGGCGGGGGAGCTGGCTTCCCATTCCATGCTGCCCGCCTGCGGGGGGCCCGCCCGCGCTGGCGAGCGCCCCGCTGCCCGCGGCGCGCCGCGGCCGCGGCGGCGCGCGCGTATGAGCTTGCGCTCAGTATTTAGTGCTGTGCACTCTCCCCGTCTGGGCATTCGAATCGAATCGAATCCTCCTCCTCCCCCTCCTCCTCCTCCTCCTCCTCCTCCTCCGCAGCCTGTACCTTTACGAGGGGATCAGTGGGACCGAGAGTTTCTTCGAGGCTTGGGAGGCGGCTGGGTTTTCGTGGAAAGCCCTATTCGAACCCAACTCTGACTCGTTCCAGGAGTTTCTGAATATTGACCCCTCGATCTTGAGAGCAGCAGCGTTCACGGATTACGACAAATGGTGTACTCTATTCCCCGAAGTACATAACCCCGAAGCCAAAAGCGAACACGTATACACATGCATGATCACGGACCCCGAGGGAAACCCATGTGGCCTCCAGTTCGACACCTACAGGGCTCTCATGGGACACCAAACAAATGGACATAAGATGAAATATATACTTCATAGTGGAGTCATTACGAACCAGTGCCCAAATTGTATGAGTATATTCAGAGATGTACACAATGCTCGCAAACATCTGAAACATTCTTATGGATATGGCCGATGTCTAATGGGAAGAGCTCACATGTCTTGGGAACCCGAGCAGAAAGACGAATGGAACTGTCCTCTATGCCCGAGTTCCGTAGTGTTTCCATCGAGCATCGATTACTTTCGCCACCTGCAAGACGAGCATCTACCCAGACCTCTCCCGACACTATTTTACCATGCCTGGCGTCCTGGCGGCACTGACTGGATCAGCAGCGGGCTCGGGCGGAGACGGGGGCCAGGGCCTTCGCGACGAGAGGAAGAAGGGCCGCACCGAGGGCGGCACGAAGGAAGAGTCCAAGCAGATCGCCGAGCAGATCCCCGACAAGCAGAAGAAGCTCTTCGCACTCATGCTGAAGCAGATCCTCAGGCTCAGCCAGCAGTGCCGCGACATGTCAGGGGTCATCTTCGACACTCTCATCGTCCCGATGACGGTCGCATTCATTACGATGATGAGCGAACAGACCGTGGCCTACGCCGCCGAGACCAAGTCAAAGGGCAAAGAGCACACCCTCGGACCTCCGCACATATATGCGATGGGCGGCCTCATCAAGGGACTCATGACGTACGGGGACAGCCTCGGAGCCCAGAACAACACCGACCTCGCGACAGCATGGAAGGAGTACGACGGGTACTCAGTCGAGCAGAAGTGCGAGCTAATTCTATTCTGCCGCCAGGACAAGGTCTTCCAGAAGGAACGTCGCAGGATCACCTTCGCCACCAGGGACGCGAAGTTCCGCAGCATTCTACTGGCCTGCCTCTCCCAAGTGCCACAGACGACACGCAAGTACGGCAGAGCCCCAGCATCGTTCATGGAGCGGGAGATTCAGACCTTCCTGGGGGCCCTACTGAAGTGAATCACCAAGTGCGAGCTCATATACCTGATATTGGTCTGAGCTCGGCATGGCCGAGCATTTTGTTGACTGACTCTCATGACCGCTCGGACATCATTTTGGAAATACCCGATATATGCGATTTGGTACAAGATACTCCGTCGAGACCAACGGGGGCCAGCTCAGCTTCGAGTTCTAGTAGGCCCGCGCCTGTGCCCCCGCCCACTCCTGTGAGTCATTCGCCTCCCCCTCCTCCTCCTCGCACTGAAAAGCAGATAGTTACTGAATATTTGGCCTCTCGAGGGATCTACCCAGGGTCTCAGAGGTTTTCTGTTTTCGCTAGCAGTAGAAACATTCTTGACATTGCTAAGAAAGCAAGAGGTCAACCCTGAATCTAGAGTCACCACAATCCCCTGTGGCTACCTCATGCGTCGGTGGCTGCAGGGGCCAGGACGGCCCCGTGCGGGGCCTTGTCTGCGGCCCTGGTGCGTAGAGCTTCGGCATCGGCACTCACTCCAAAGGGAAGGTTCACCGCGCCACGATGCCTCCAGTCAGTCTTGAATGTTCTCAGGGCCCACTGCTGCGCGATTTTGACATTGAGTGAGTACAGTACTCACTGGACTACCAGACAACATGGCGTTAAGGGTGTGCGTATCGTATCGTATCCTCCTCCTCCTCCTCCTCCTCCTCCTCCTCCTCCTCCTCCTCCTCCTCCCCCTCCTCCCCCTCCTCCTCCTCCTCCTCCTCCTCCTCCTCCTCCTCCTCCTCCTCCTCCTTCTCTCCTCCTTCTCTCCTCCTTCTCTCCTCCTCCTCCTCCTCTCCTCCTCCTCCTCCTTCTCCTCCTCCTCCTCCTCCTCCTCCTCCTCCTCCTCCTCAGTCGCGGGGCGTCTTTTCCCCGCTCGAAGTGCCTTCGGTGCACCTCGCTATTGCTCCAGGGCCCTCGGGCCCACGCGTGCACCCCGCGCACGCGTCCTGCATGTGGCCTTGAGCCAACGCAGCGGCGGTCACGCCGCTGCGCCGTCGTCGTCGGGGAGGGGGTCCAGGGCCATGTTCTCGACTTCCTCCTCCTCCTCCTCCTCCCCCTCCTCCTCCTCCTCCCTCTCCTCCTCCTCCTCCTCCTCCCCCTCCTCCTCCTCCTCGTCCTCGTCCTCGTCCTCGTCCTCGTCCCCGCCCTCTGCGCGCTCTGTAGGAGGGCGTGCCCGGCCCGGGACTGGGGGTCGGGAGCGCTTGGACGGCGTGCCTCTCCCCCGTTTCTGGCCCACCACGCATCGCCGCGAGACGCTACAGTGTCCGCTTATTCGGGGTTCCTTTTCCTCTTCCTCCTCCTCCTCCTCCCCCTCCCCCTCCTCCTCCTCCTCCCCCTCCTCCTCCTCTCCTCGTCCTCCTCCTCCTCCTCGCGTCGTGGCACGCGGGATGTTTTGGGCTTCCAGCCTCCGGGGGGCGTCGCCGGCCCCCGAGACCGGAAAGCAACTGTCCAGATGCCTCGTGTTTTTTTCCGAGCTCTTCCGAGCCTCCCGCCCTGACAAGCGGAGCGACATGCTTTCCCGGCTGCACGACGTATCTCGTCGCCGGGGCCGCCGCAGTGACACGCTAAGCAGAATATCCATCCCGTCCGTAATTGCCCAGCTGCCTCCGGCAATTCCGCCACGTGCCAGCGTAGCAGTCTGGGCGGCAAATACCGAGAAGGCAAGGGGGCCTTCTGAGGGCCTGCTGGGGCAGAAGGCTCGCTTTCGGGGTTCGTGTTCCTGCTCTTGGGTCCTTTTTAGGGCTGTCCTGGGGCCCTCTTGAGCAGTCGTGGGCGCCTCTTGGACTGGCTTGGAGCCCTCTGGGGCCGTCTTTGAGCTTTCCAGGGGCCGTCTCGGAGGAGTTTTGGGGGCCTCTGTGGCCCGTCTTGGAGCGTCGGAAGCTCGAAAAGGCGAGAACCCACAACGCATTGAAAAAACTATAGCCCATCAGCGTCTGTTCCCAACCATCCTGTGGTGTTGGGTCCTCGGTTTGAAGAAACGGTGCCCCGCGTTCCTTCCTTCCCGCCCTCCTCCCCCTCCTCCTCCCTCCTCCTTGCGTTTCACGCACCTTGTACAACGCTTCGTGGCCCCATAGCAAGCTCCACCGAAGGCCCCAGTGGCAGGGTTCGCATGGCGGCCCCGCGTTTTGGTGCACCCCTCACACGGTTCGTGCCCATCGGGAGTTCCACCGAATGCCCCAGTGGCAGGGTTCGCGTGGCGGCCCCGCGCCATCTTGGCGCACCCCTCACACGGTTCGTGGCCCCATCGGGAGTCCCACCGAAGGCCCCAGCGGCAGAGTTCGCATGGCGGCCCCGCGTTTTGGCGCACCCCTCACACGGTTCGTGGCCCCATAGGAAGTTCCACCGAAGGCCCCAGTGGCAGGGTTCGCATGGCGGCCCCGCGTTTTTGTGCACCCCTCACACGGTTTGTGGCCCCATAGGGAGCTCCACCGAAGGCTCCAGTGGCAGGGTTCGCGTGGCGGCCCCGCCCCATTCTGGCGCACCTCTCACGCGGTTCGTGGCCCCATAGGGAGCTCCACCGAAAACCCCAGTGGCAGGGTTCGCATGGCGGCCCCGCGCCATTGTGGCGCACCTTTCACACGGTTCGTGGCTCCATAAGGAGCTCCACCGAAGGCCCCGGTGGCAGGGTTCGCATGGCGGCCCTGCCCCATTTTGGTGCACCCCTCACACGGTTCGTGGCCCTATAGGGTGCTCCACCGAAGGCCCCAGTGGCAGTGTTCGCATGGCGGCCCCGCCTCATTTTGGCGCACCCCTCACACAGTTCGTGGCCCCATAGGGAGCTCCACCGAAGGCCCCAGTGGTAGGGTTCGCATGGCGGCCCCGCGCCATTCTGGCGCACCCCTCACACGGTGCGTGGCCCCATTGGGAATTCCCATTGCTTCGTGCCACCTGCCCTGCGGTTCTCACACTTGCGTATGGTTGGGTCCTTCGCCAGGATAAGTGTTGATCTCGGGGCCCTCCTGGGAGCCGCTTGGGGACCTCTTGTGGCCTTCTTGGGGCCTTCTGAGCCCTCTTGTCTAGGAATGCTCAAATCATCGATTCGTGTTCGCCTCCGATGGCACCTCTTGGGGCCGTTGTAGAGCCCTTTTGGACATCAGGGCGGTCCTGGTGGCCTCTTAGGTCGCCTTGGAACGTCGGAGGCACAAGAAGGCGAGAACCGGACGACATGGGAAAACCATCTGAGAATCGATAATTTGGACTCTCGAGGCAATCTTGGCTTGGGGCTCAGCTGGGACGTCTCGACGGCCTCGTGGGCCGTCTTGAAGCCATCCTGTGCCGTCTTAAGGACAACGTGGCCCGTCGTGGAGCGCTGTTGGGCCGTGAACGGCCTTTGGGCCTCGGGAGCGCGAGCCTGTTTTTCTCTCGCGAGGAAGTGCAGTATGGCCTCGGGAAGAGGAGAGGCGGTGCGCGGAGCGCAGCGCGACCACCAGATGTGGGGGCCCCTCCTCCGAAAATGATAGGAACCCGACCAGGCAGACCTTGGCATCCTTGCGCGCCTCAACGTTCACCAGTCACGGTGGCGGATCTGGTATGAAACGCTGGCCTCATGGAAAGGGTCGGGACTTCTGGGGACCCCGCACGGGACAAACTGAAGGCAACCGCGCTGCGTCGCAAAAGCGGGGAGGACTCTCGAGCTCCACCTTCCGAGCCTTCCGCGCAGTCGTGACGTGGCGCGCGGCGCGGACGTGGCGACCGCCGAGGCCCCCGCCGCGGCTCGCGCTGGCGGCGGCCGCTGCGCGGCATCTGCCGCCTGGAAGGCGCGGAAGGTGGAGGTCGAGGGGGGCAGACGTGCCGATATTGGTGCTAGGTTCTTCCTCTTTGCTTTTTCGAGCCTCCTGGGGGCGCCCTCGCCGTGTAGCAGCAGTATCGTTGTTTTTTTATAGCCCCCAAGGACGACGACGACGAGGGCTTCTCTGGGTGGACGCCTTGGACTCCGGCCTCGTTCACGACTGCCGAGGGCAAGACGAGCGACACCCCATCGGCAACGCCATCGGCTACTTCTCCAGAGTGAGCGTGTTGCCCGGGTCCCAGCGTCTCCGGCAGGTGGATCCGGCCGAAGATGCAGCCGTTGAGTTGCACGTCTTCCGCATTGCGACGCTACAGAACTGCTGCTGCGTCCAGGCAGGAGACATGGCCTGGCACAGCGGGCACGTTTGAATCCCCGCAGCAGCACTCCGCAGACCAGCGCCGCGGCAGGGCGGCGAGCGCCCTCGCATGCGTCCTGACAGCCTATCACGTCCGAGGCGCCCCTGCCCCTGAGTCGGCGGCGCACAGAGGGGGGTTCGGCAGCAAATCATAGGGGGCCGTGCGTGTCCTCGGAGTTCCGTCTTCAGGATGCACTGGAGTGCGCTAGCGTCCGGAAGTCCACGGGAAAGCGCCGGTTTGGTATCGACAAGCGTCGATCTAGTGCCGGTCAGCGTCGTTTGCCGAGGGCCAACAAGATGACCTGGGAGGCTGCCAGGGCATGGCGAGGGCACCGGTCGTCTCACACGGCGCGGGGCGTCTCAGAAGGGCTCGGTCCCTTCACAGGGGGCTTCCAATAAGCCTCCTCAGAGCTCACGGGGGGGTCGCAGGCGATTTGTTATCCAAATCCCCGACGTTTTGACGAAAAATGAAGCGGCTAAGAAAAGGAGAGAAAGCCTGGGCTATTCGGACGCACCCTTATTGAGGATGGACGCCCCCCCATCGTATATCCCAGGGTTGGGCCCAAATTTGTCGCTCCATTCGGAAACCTCCCAAAGCCTGGGATAGGGGTCGACGTATCCCCTGAATCGAGGGGGTGGCGGGGCGCCCGAGAGGCGGCGCGCTGCCCCCCTCTGAACGCCGCCGGAGCCAGCTCCCGCAGGTTCTCCTCCTCCTCCTCCTCCTCCTCCTCCTCCTCCTCTTCCTCCTCCTCCTCCTCCTCCTCCTCCTTTCCCCGCCCCTCCTCTCCTCCTCCTCCTCCTCCTCCTCCTCCTCCTCCTCCTCCTCCTCCTCCTCCTCCTCCTCCTCCTCCTCCTCCTCCTACTCCTACTACTCCTACTCCTATCCTTATTCCTTATTCGAATATACTCCTACTCCCCCCTCAGGCCGGCAGATAGCGGGCGCATCCGGGTGGTCCCATCCTAACCGGTAAAAAACAATACAAAATTAACTTTTTTCTTTTTTTTTTCCTCTCGACATGGACGTCGTGTCGTCCACGGCGATAATCCATTGCAAAAAATACCACGAAGAGCACACGCGCGCGTTCATGACAGAATCTTACCGAGCACCGTGTGTTTGCAAGCATTTCAACATAAAAACATCAAAAACCCAATGCTTTTTCACAAAAAAATGTACAAGTTTCCCGCCCGGGCTCTCTTGCTGAAATCATAGGAAAACCATAGGAATCTTAAGAATTCGGTCACATCCAGCGATTTCACGTCATCGCGTCATGCACCCAGGCCGCGAATCCTGTGCAAAAAATATACAAAGAGCACACTCGCGCGTTCATGTCAGAATCCTACCGAATACTTTGTTTCTGCAAGCATTTCAACATAAAAACATCAAAAACCCAATGCTTTTTCACACAAATGCTTTGGGGTGTCCTGTCAGACCGTCGGGCTTCCTCCGGCCACCTCTGGCTTCCTGCGGTGTACCGGGCCATTCTCGACTCGTCTGGCAATGCGTGCGCGGCATTCAACACGCGCTCGCCAGTTCCCGTCGGCAACCGCCATCGCGGCCGCATCAGCTGTACCAAACCGGCTGGCCGGTGTGACTTCGGCCCCCAGTTGTGCCAGCTTTGCTTCTTATGTTGTGGGAGGGCGGGTGAGACTGGGCATGCCATGCTTGACTCGCTCGAGCTGGCCAGCTTGACTCCTACTCCTCCTCCTCCTCCTCCTCCTCCTCCTCCTCCCCTCCCCTCCTCCTCCTCTTCGCCCTCCTCTTCCTCCTCCTCCTCCTTCTCCTCCTCCTCCTCCTTCCTCTCCTCCTTTTCCTCCTCCTCTCCTTCCCTCCTCCTCCCCCTCCCCCTCCTCCTCCTCCTCCTCCTCCTCCTCCTCCTCCTCCTCCTCTTCTCCTCCTCCTCCTTCTCCTCCTCCTCCTCCTCCTCCTTTTTTCCTCTTCCTCCTTTCCTCCTCCTCTCCTCCTCCTCCTCCTCCTCCTCCTTTTTCCTCTTCCTCCTTTTCCTCCTCCTCCTCCGCCTCCTCCTCCTTCCTCTTTCCTCCTCCCTCCTCCTCCCCTCCTCTCCTCCCCCTCCTCCCTCCTCCTCCTCCTCCTCATCTCCTTCCAATCCTCCCCGATTCCCTCCTCCTCCCTCTTCCTCCTCTTCCTCCTCCTCCTCCTCCTCCTCCTCCTCCTCCTCCTCTCCTCACCCTCCTCCTCTCCCGTCCTGCTGCTCCTCCTCCTCCTCCTCCTCCTCCTCCTCCTCCTCCTGCTTCTCCTCTTCCTCCTCCTATTCCTCCTCCTCCCCCTCCTCTGCCTCCTCCTTCTCCTTCTCCTCCTCCTCCCCCTCCTCTGCCTGCCTCCTCCTCCTCCTCCTCCTCCTCCTCCTCTTCCTCCTCCTCCTCCTCCTCCTCCTCCTCCTCCTCCTCCTGATCCTCCTGCTTCTCTCGGATCCGGACGGGTCCCTGCCCCACGTCCCCTCGATTTGCGCGTCTGGTCCTGCTTCTCGCCTCTCTTGCCGCCTCCTTCGTGCCCATCGCGGGGGCTTTCAGCAGTTCGATGGGTCCACCGATGCGTGCTGACGTCTGCGCGCGACACTGGCCGCTCCGATGGCACACCTCCCCCCTGGAGTGAGCGACACGTGCCCTCCCCAGACAGGCTCGTTTTGCCAGGGAGGCAACAGGGCATCAATGGCACGCCGCCTTCAGGAGCGCGTCGGCGTGCCATTCAGGGGGGGGGGGGGGAACATTCCGACATAGTTAATCGTAGACTCCCAGGAACATATGGGAAGGGGGGAAGAAGGAAACCCAGAAACATCGTATTTCTTCACTGGTGCTACACACGCTGATGGGCTCCTCAAGGCGACGTGCCACTGATCTCGTTCTGCTCCCCCAGATTTGATGATGTAGGCGCTCAGGTCGGTCTGCGGAGCACAGCCAGCGCGTGGACGGCCACGCTGCCCTCCCGTCGCGGCATTTAAAGCTACAGTTAAGTCGGGCACGTCCCTCTACAGGAGGAATATTCCAAATTTGACTAAGACCAGTCCGGGGACGATTCCGGTTGATTTTGGACTATGTTTGAGCATTGCTCGAGTCTGTTTTATTTGTCCTCCCAGATCCGCCTGTAGGAGGACCTGCCCGACCGAAATGGAGCTACAGCCCTAGGCCAGGGAGTCCGGGAGGGGAGGGGGCCGCCAGTGGCGCCCACGGGCCAGGCCGCAGGGGAGGACGAGCGGCGACCCGCGCCCGCCGCGGATTTTTTGTTTTTGTTTTGCGGGTGCGGCCGCCTGCCTCGTCGTCGCTGCCGTTCTGTGCTGCCCCGTCTCTCTCTCTCTCTCTCTCGCCCTCGCAGTGTTGTGATGTTCCAGCCGAGTCCAACCCAGGTCCGCCTTGATCACCAGAGAGAAGTCTGAGCACCAGGGATAGTATCAATGCTGCGGTTTTTGTTCTGTGCCTGGCCCTGGGAGGCGATACCTGTTCGGCATTTCGCCAGCGTGTCGGGCAGACAGTCTTACGATACTATCGGGGTGCTCGATTTTTTGTTTGTGTGTGTGCGGCCCTTGAGCACGATGGGAACATCTTAACTCTCGAGATTGTTAGGGCCCCTGGCGGGAGCGCAGGCGCAAGCGCCCGCGCCCCGACCCCGCAGCATGCCCTCAGGCCGCAGCGAAGGTCTCTAGATGCGGCCGCCCAGGCCAGCACTACCTTTGGGCGCCCGTCAGGCCCACGAGCTGAGCCCAGCGATCCTTTGGGAACGCAGAGCACGCTCGCCCGAATTTTAGCAGGCTGGTGCCGTGTGCACCTCACAGGGTTGCACGTTGCAGGCAGAAGCGAGGGTGGCACTGCGGTCGGCTCCCGACCAACTGTTTTGCATTCGCAGCGCAAGTCTGGAATCGGGTCAATTTCAAGGCAGCGAGCTCGCCTCTTCTTTTCGTCGCCCTTGTCTACCCCGCCCCCCCAACACTCCTCCGCAGTGCATCCTGTGGGAGTTTACCTTTTTGATAGAAGACTTAGATTGCAATGCTGGTCCGCACCGCTATGCCGCTCTCGACCAACCTCGGTGTCCAGTCCACTAGCCAGTTTCAAGCGGCGAAGGTTCCTTTCCTCCTTCTCTGGTCTCCTGTGCTACTCCCTGCCCCCTCCGACCCTGCGCCGTGCCTTTAAGATGCGCTTGACGCTATTGGAGCCAGGTGAGCGACGGAAGAAACACGGGTTCTATTGCGCGGACATTCGCGCATAAGTTTCCCTCGCAACGTCGCGGGCAAGCTCCCTCTTCTCCACGCGGTGTGCCACTCTGGCGGCCCGCGCAAGCGGTGGCGTAAGTTCGCCATATCCTTTTGCGTCAGACCCGTTTCTCTGCGTCGCTCAGGTGTTGGAGCTTGCGCAGGCTGCGCACCTCAGGCCGAAGGCTCGATCCAGCAACCCCGCCTGCAGCAGCGTTCTTCGGCGGGCCGCTCAGGCGGACAGCCCCCCCCGCCCGTCGCAGGGCCCGCGGCGCACAGGCCGCGCACGCGCAGCACCCGCGTTCTACACCACGCGGCGCAAGGTGCGGAGGCGGGGTCTCAGGGATCCTCGTCCACTGGCCACACGAAGAGCTCCATGCCTCCCAGGTGGAATCAGAGCAGCTGGGGCCGGAGAATGGCGCCGCCTCGCCGATGCCGCGGCGACGCGGCTCGATGTGGAGCACGACTCTCACCGCGCAGAGAGCGCCAATGCAGCGCCGACGTCGCCGATGCATCGCCGATGCCTTGGCGATGCAGTGGCGATGCGGCGCGATCCTCCGACCCCGTGTGATCCTTGGCATCGCTCGGACGTGTGCATTTTTCCTTCGGCAAGGTCCATCGAGGAGCATCCTTGATCATTTGGGGAAAAACCACGCACGAAACCGAAAAAAGCGCAAGGAATGGACGTCCGAGCGATGGCCAGGATCGGCCCCCCCGTTTGGCGGGCTTCCAGAGGAGCGGGGGCGCCGCGGGCACAAGAGCGGCCCGGCAGACATCCCAGAGGGCAGCACAAAAGGGCGGTGCTGCTCGAAACGGGCCGATTCTGGACATGGCTTTGTGATCGTTTTCTTATTCATTGTTTCGCCGATCCGCTCCCCCCTGGAGCAGATCTTGTCTGTTTTGGGCGACGGTTTCGAGCAGGTGGCGTCTCCCCACAGGACGCACTGTTGCAAACAGTTGCGTTGAGCAGAGGTCCGGAGCCAGAGCCCCTCCCCTCCCTTCTCTTCCGCCCAATGTCGAGACGCCGGATAAGAAAACGTTCACTTTGCCTCTGGAGTGTCTGTTCCGTGGCCCTGAGGGTGACCTGAAGAACCGGACCTTACGGCGAAAGATGGGGGATCGGGGGATGAAGAGCAAGGGCGAATTTGGGCCGCTCTGTGTTTGACACGGCCGCCCAAGGAGCTCAGTAGGCGAGCTCGGAGATTAGGCGAGCTGCGCATTTGAGCTGTTTTACGAACTCTTCCGAAGCACTTGGGCAACAGTTCCAGAGCGGCATCGGGAATGGCGTTTGGTGTGTGTAGCGGTTGGGGGGGGGCAAGCCGTAATGTTCGAGGGGAAGGTTGGCGGTGGCTGGAACCTGTGCACGTTACTTTTAAATATCGATTCTGGCACTCATGTGTTCAGCGCAGCTCTGTTGGCCGTGGATGCGGGATACCAGGGAAGCTGCGAGCAAAACTTGGTCCATCATTATCATTAGGTTGGGCATGTCCTCCTACAGGCGGATTTTTGAAGGCATTCAAAATAACCAAGCATGGTCAGAAATAGACAAAAGAGTACGACAAATCGTCACCTGACTATTTTTTCTATTCTTGAGTATTCCTCCTGTAGAGTGACATGCCCTACTTGACACTATCGTTTCGGAGTAGGGTTCTTTCCATGATCGCGCGCTCCGCCGACGGCCTTTCCTTTCCCTGGGCTTTGGGAGCAACGACGGCTCGACATCATGACCTGCACGTCTCGGGCTGGAGCGACGAACGACGGGGACGAGCGGGCGGCCACGTCCGTCTAGGCCTCGCAGATAGAGTCCGAGCAGATGGGGTCGGAGGATCGCACCGCATCGCCGAAGCATCGCTGATGCGGCTCGGTGCGAGGCCCGATTTTTGCTCCACGTCGACGTCGCCGATGCACCGCCAACATCGACGATGCGCCACCGAGGCATCGCCGATACGTCGCCGCTGCATCGGTGATACATCGGCGATCTGGCGCGATCCTCCGACCCCGTCTGTTTGGACCCCATCTATCGGTGCTGGACAGACCTCCTACCCTGACACGTCGATTAGTGAATTGGCCGTATGCGGTTCGCGAGAGGGCGTCGCGGCCGTCATTTTTGCGGGTCCAGGTCCATCGGTTTCGGTCCCAGGCCGTTTTCGCTAAGGGGAGGTCTACTAAAGGGAGGTTTGTCCAGCGCCGAATCTGGGACGCCTCGACACACGCACTCGCCCGGACATCTCGTCGAACTCTCGCGGGCGGCTTCGGCCTCCAGGCGCCCGGGGGGGCCGACGCCTCCTCCTCGGCGGGGGGCTGCGGCGGAGGCGGAGCGGCGGGCCGGCCCCGCCGGCGGAGAGCCGGCCGGCGGGCTGGCGGGGGGCGGCGGAAGCAGGAGAGGGGCGCACAAAAGTCGTCGGGGCGACGAGGTCTACCTCCCCCATCCCCCTCCCCCTCCTCCCCCTCGCCCTCCTCCTCCTCCTCCTCCTCCTCCTCCTCCTCCTCCTCACCTCATCCTCCTCCTTCTCCTCCTCCTCCTCCTCCTCCTCCTCCTCCTCCTCCTTCCTCCTCCTCCTCCTCCTCCTCCTCCTCCTCCTCTCTTCCTCCTGTGGGTGGGGGGGGCGCGCGCCAGGGTCCGGGGGCGGCGCGCCGACGTCCACCGCCGCGTGCCAGGCCCACCCCGGGCTCAGGATGTTCCAACCTGCTTGGGCCCTGATCACCAGGAAGAGTGTCGAGCACCAAGAGAGAGGACCGAAGCTGGAGGGCTGTTTTGCGTGTCGGGCGCTCACTCGTCCGACACTGTGTCGTTTTTTTTGTTCTGGGTGCTCGAGGTTATTTCTGGGATGTGGTCCGTGAGCACGATGGGGCAACATATCAGAAGGGGAAAACACACACAGACACAATGAATCGTCGATTCCCCAGAAAATATGGGAAAATATGGGAAGTGGGAGGGAAGACAAACAAGAACAAAACATATGGGAAAACATGGGGAATCTGTTTGTTTTGTGTGTATTTATTTGTGTGTCCTGGGGCCCCTCCAACATAGCCCTGGGCCCAGGAGCGGTGCATCTGCCTCCCCGTGTGCTGGGCCGGGGAAAAGCAGCTGCACCGCTCCTCTGGGCCCAGGACGGGCCCCGCCTGCGGCGGTGGATAGGGTCAGGCCGCGTCGCCGTACCCGCGGCCCCAGAGCTGGCCACCTGCATGAAGTCGGGCGTGTCCCTCTACAGGAGGAAGATCCAAACACAGTCTTAACACATAAGCAGGGGACGACTTTTTGAAACCTATGTTTGAATGTATGTTTTATACGCCTTTTTATTTTTCATCCAAAATCCGCCTGTAGGGGCACGCCCGACCTAACATATGCAGCGGCCATCGTATGCACTGCGGAGCCCAGAGCGGGGAGGGCGCGAGGGGCTGGGGGCAAGCTAGGTGCTCCCGGGCCTCATCTTACATCCGATCCCTCCCTCCCATCCCTCCCCATGGCGCTGATTTTTCTCTATCCGCGGACGCGTGTCGTAGGCGACCTGCGACTCCCACAGAAGGATCACCTTGTGCGATGCGCAATCGGAGAAGGGGAGCTGCGTGCGCAGATGGAGGCAGTGGCGGGCGAGCAGGAGAACGAGCAGGAGGGAGCGAAACAAGGACGAACAGGAGCAGCTGGAACTAAATCAGAAAGATCGGGAGGAAAACGAGGGCCAGGGGAAGGAGGAGGAGGAGGAGGGAAAAGTGAGGTGGGCGGCAACGATGAATAGATATTCGGGTTCAGGAAAGTGGCCCGCGCCCGCGCTGGGGCGAGCCGGAGAACTGCCAAAGGAATTGTAGTTGAGGGAGCGGGAGGGACAATATGGCCAGGGAAAGGCGGAGGAGGGGATGGGAAATTCTTTACGCTTCGCGTATCCCCAGCAGCCCATCTCACAGCAGCAACTCTTGCGAAGCATGCCGACAGTCGTGTTTTTCAGGCGTGTGTCCGCTTGGCCGCGCATATCTCCCCTGTTCCTCCTTCCTCCCGCCTCCTTGTACATCCTCCTTGTGGGGGGAGCGGGAGAAGGACGAGGCGGAGGAGGAGGGAGAGAAAGCGCTCCTCGTGATTTGAGTCGTTTGGGGTTTCTCGTCCTGGTGTGAGTCGTTCGGGCCCTTCTTCCTGGTGTGAGTCGTTCGGGCTCTTCGTGGTGTGAGTCGTTCGGGCTCTTCGTCCTGGTGTGAGTCGTTCGGGCTTCTCGTGGTGTGAGTTGTTCGGGCCCCTCATCCTGGTGTGAGTCGTTCGGGCCCCTCCTCCTGGTGTGACTCGTTCGGGCTCCTCGTGGTGTGAGTCGTTCGGGGCCCGCGTCGTGGTGTGAGTCGTTCGGGCTCCTCGTGGTGTGAGTCGTTCGGGCGCCTCGTCCTGGTGTGAGTCGTTCGGGCCCCTCCTTGTGGTGTGAGTCGTTCGGGCTCTTCGTGGTGTGAGTCGTTCGGGCCCCTCGTCCTGGTGTGAGTCGTTCGGGCTCCTCGTGGGGCCTCTTGGGGGCCTCTTGGAGCCTCGTGGGGCCTCTTGGGGGCCTCTTGGGGGCCTCTTGGGGGCCTCTTGGGGGCCTCTTTGGGCCTCTTGAGGCCTCTTGGGGGCCTCTTGGGGGCCTCTTGGGGGCCTCTTGGGGCCGCTTGGGGGCCTCTTGGGGGCCTCTTGGAGGCCTCTTGGGAGCCTCCTGGGGGCCTCTTGGGGCCATCTTGGGGCTTCTTGCGACCTCCTCAGAAGCGGAAATGAGAGCTGCCCCCTGAGAAGGACAAAATGAGCCCAAAACCTTTCTGTAAAATCAATGATTTTGCTATGAAGGAAGATGAGCGCGGCCCCCTCAGGACGCCAAAATGGGGCCAAAACCGTAGTAAGATCAATGATTGTGGCTTCAAAGAAGAGCAGAGGGGCCTATCTCTGTCCCCCCGTCGGGGCCAGAATCCTCGTGAGGGTCGTCGTTTTTTGGCCCTCCCAGGAGTCGAAATTGACCCCCTGACGACCCGCCGGGCCCCCTGTCCAGGTCCAGGGGGAGGGGGTAGGGGGAGGGGGAAACCCCTCCCCGAAGGGGAAGAAGGGGGGTTGAGGACAGAGCGGGCTCTCTAAACCACTCACGCCCAAAGGGCTGGTGGGATTAGGAGGGGGACCACGATGAAGCAAGACTCGGATCCAGAAAAGACGCCCTCGCTAGGGCGAGGGTGCCATGCTGCACGACGGGGGCAAAGCGCCGATCCGAACATGAGGCCCACGCTGCAGCGGAAGCGCCGTGCTGAGACACCGAAAACGATCGGATTGCACAAAAAGAAATGTACGAGCACAAACAACTGCCGCTAATTTCTTTTTGACAGCAGAAAACATGCATGCGGAGGGTGCGCGAGATATTCTGGACAACTTCAGGGGAAGAGTCAGGGGGAGTAGTCATATTGTTCCTCCTCCTCCTCCTCCGCCTCCTCCGCCTCCTCTCCCAATTCCCCCACCTCCTCCCCCTCCTCCTCCACCCCCTCCTCCCCCTCCTCCTCCCCCTCCTTCTACTCCCCCTCCTTCTCCTCCTCCTCCCCCTCCCCCTCCTCCTCCTCCCTCGTCCTCCTCCTCCTCCTCCTCCTCCTCCTCCTCCTCCTCCTCCTCCTCCTCTCTTCCTCCTGTGGGGGGGGGGGTTCGCGTCAGGGTCCTTGGGCGGCGCGCCGACCCCTCCCCCCCCCGCCGCAGACGCCAAGCCATCGCCGAGGGGGGCCCGAGAGGCCCCGCCCAGGGCAGGACGGCGCGGCTTCGGTGCCAGGGGGGGCCCAGCTCGAAGCGCGGGAATGGCCACACGTTGTTCGGCCCGACCTAGAAGGAACGAGAACCGAGGAACGAAGCCCCTTGGAATTCCCAAGTGAATCTAGGAAGTCGGAAGGAGCACCAGGGGGCCTCGCCGCCAAGACGGTGGCGGAACGCATGCAATCCAAAGGAACCACCGAGCCCTTTTTGAGCAGTACGTGTTCCTTATTCAGGCCGGACCCTGTAGCCGTGTGAAGCTCCGGGCTGGATCGGCACTGGGCCACGTGTGGCGGCGCCTCCGTCGCCACCCGTGGCGCGCTCTGCGCGCCAGGGGGTGAGGGAGGGGTGCGGGTGCGGCGCCGACCCCGGGAACCTGCGCGGAGCCTGCGCGGAGTTCTGAGAGTTTCTTCCTCCTCTTCTCCTTCTTCTCCTTCTTCTTCTTCTTATAATAATAATAATTTTCAT